GTACTGATTTCAGAGGTCTCACTCTTGGTCTCCTCACTCCTCTTGGCCATCCGAGCAGCCCTCGCCTTGTCTGCTTTGACTTTCTTGTCACAAGTGGAAATCGAGTGACCCTCATCCTTGCAGTATGCACAGATGAGCGGCATCTTGAGTGTCCTCAAAGACGGACACTTGTTGCTTGTGTGGCCCACTGCCTTGCAATGATCGCAAGTCTTGAAGAATGGCTTGGAGCATGCGACGGCCTGGTGCCCCTCTTCGTTGCATCGAGAGCAAATCACGTTCGCGGCCGCCATGGAGAATGGCTTTGGGGTGCTATATTAACAAGACAAATGAGCTGAAGGAGCTTGAGCCATAGAACTTTGCAGGTTTGAGAATCAGATAATCATAACCTTTCACACATCATTTTTTGCAACAACTTGGAAGAATCAACAAACAAGTACAGCCACCCTTGTATCCCAAAGAGCGGTTGACAATGGCAATGTGCTTCGCTGCTAAATATTCTAAATACTCAAACATACTCAAACTCTCTATCAGTGTCCACAAACTGCAAGCAGTGCCATCTTTTCTTGCGGCTATGTCAGCCAGTTGACCACATGTTTGTTTGGTCTAGAACTTCTATAGTTTACTCCAGCAATAGTGATCTTTCGATGCAGCTGTACACTGCACAAAGCTGCAAAGCAACTGTCAGCATCAACAAAATCACCATGATGCCTTATGGCATCGGCTCTGGTAGCTATGGTCCACTAACACTTATCTGGCTCTAAGCTCAACTTGCCGACCCCCCTGGTGAAAGCTGGCTGCAGTACTGATTTCAGAGGTCTCACTCTTGGTCTCCTCACTCCTCTTGGCCATCCGAGCAGCCCTCGCCTTGTCTGCTTTGACTTTCTTGTCACAAGTGGAAATCGAGTGACCCTCATCCTTGCAGTATGCACAGATGAGCGGCATCTTGAGTGTCCTCAAAGACGGACACTTGTTGCTTGTGTGGCCCACTGCCTTGCAATGATCGCAAGTCTTGAAGAATGGCTTGGAGCATGCGACGGCCTGGTGCCCCTCTTCGTTGCATCGAGAGCAAATCACGTTCGCGGCCGCCATGGAGAATGGCTTTGGGGTGCTAGTAACAAGACAAATGAGCTGAAGGAGCTTGAGCCATAGAACTTTGCAGGTTTGAGAATCAGATAATCATAACCTTTCACACATCATTTTTTGCAAAAACTTGGAAGAATCAACAAACAAGTACAGCCACCCTTGTATCCCAAAGAGCGGTTGACAATGGCAATGTGCTTCGCTGCTAAATATTCTAAATACTCAAACATACTCAAACTCTCTATCAGTGTCCACAAACTGCAAGCAGTGCCATCTTTTCTTGCGGCTATGTCAGCCAGTTGACCACATGTTTGTTTGGTCTAGAACTTCTATAGTTTACTCCAGCAATAGTGATCTTTCGATGCAGCTGTACACTGCACAAAGCTGCAAAGCAACTGTCAGCATCAACAAAATCACCATGATGCCTTATGGCATCGGGTCTGGTAACTATGGCAACTATGGTCCACTAACACTTACCTGGCTCTAAGCTCAACTTGCCGACCCCCCTGGTGAAAGCTGGCTGCGGTACTGATTTCAGAGGTCTCACTCTTGGTCTCCTCACTCCTCTTGGCCATCCGAGCAGCCCTCGCCTTGTCTGCTTTGACTTTCTTGTCACAAGTGGAAATCGAGTGACCCTCATCCTTGCAGTATGCACAGATGAGCGGCATCTTGAGTGTCCTCAAAGACGGACACTTGTTGCTTGTGTGGCCCACTGCCTTGCAATGATCGCAAGTCTTGAAGAATGGCTTGGAGCATGCGACGGCCTGGTGCCCCTCTTCGTTGCATCGAGAGCAAATCACGTTCGCGGCCGCCATGGAGAATGGCTTTGGGGTGCTA